CACTGCCGCCAACATCCATGACCACCTGGCCGCCACTGTCCCCCCCCCATCCTGCGCACCCGCTACAAGTGGGGTTTTCGAAAAGACTTCAACATTCCATACGGCGTTGTCCACCTCAAGGAGAAGAAGCACTGGCAAAAAGGCCGTACAATTATCTCATACTTCCAATCACTCAGTGGCAACCTGCTTCGCATTACCAGCCGTGCCCTTGACATCATCCTCCAACACCTTTACCCTCAGCATCCCGGCCAAATGTCCATTCCCCAACTTTGGCACCATTTTCACAGCTACCTCACCCAAACCCCACCAGACATCTCACTACACGCCACCAACGATGACCTGGTCGGCTTCTTCAACTCAGTCCCACAGCACCGACTCATCGATGCGGTTCACTCCCTCGTCCACCACTGGCAACAACAGCAACCAACACACACCCTGACGGTGGACGTCCAGGCCACCGGCAATCCTTTCCACCACTCCCACATTGGCAGGCACCATCGCAAACACCCTACCCAACGTACCATCCAGACTTCCGACATTACCACCATCGTGGCTTTTGCCCTCAACACATGCATTTTCCGGGCTTGCAACAACACTTACAAACAAATCCGAGGGGCTGGGATTGGATCCCAGCTCTCTCCAGCCCTATGCAACGTTGCTATCACCCTCATTGAGCACTCCTGGCATCAGATACACAACAACCTCCTTCAACACACAGACCTCCACTTTACTTACTATCGCTATGTTGACAACCGTTTCATTGTCCACAACGAACATTTCCTTCAGCACCCGGCTATCCAAACCCTTATCCACCACAATTTCTTTGGCGACCCTGTGGAACTCGAACCGGTGGAGGATTTTCATCTCCTCGGTTTCAACATCGACCTCCCACAACGCACTATCACCTACATGCAACCTTCTCAACCCTGGAAAATCCGGGATTCCACAACCGCCGGGAGCCAGCGCTTGGCTCTATCAGGCCTCCAATCACGACTTCACACCATTCGAAAATACACATTTCCACCCTCCAGCGCTGACGCTGCTGCGGCCGAACTCGTGAACCTATATGTCCAAAAGGGGCATAACTACCACGCCTGCCACCGGTTTTTGAAAAAGCGCCGAATGCGGCGACCTCTGTGTGTCCAACCCTGGACAAAGGGTCTTCCACCACCACTCTTTCCATTTTACACAGGCAGGGGCGTGTGGCCTTCTTGTCCTACCACACGCAATGAAGCTATGGACAAGAAGGGGAAGCAGGGACTGATCATCCCTGTGTACCTGCTCGTTTCTCCACAAGCTGTTACTCCAATTTTCCATTTTTTGATTCATGGTCGTTTGCATGATACTTCCCACAAACCTATTCGTCCCCAGCAGCTGCGCCGCCGGTTTGCTTGCTGCCGTCTTTGTGACAACAATGTTAAACCTTTCAAGTGCTCGGACCCATGCACCTTTCTGTTCTCTCACCTTCCTTCCCAACCTGACTTGCGTTAACTGAAAACCCAAGTTCGAAGTGTGTGTGTGTGTGTCTGCGCTGTGTTTGCCAAAGCCAAGTGAGGGCACGGATCACTGTCGCACATGTCCGCACAAAAACCGCATGCGGCCGCTTGTACAAAATCCAGAACAATAGCAACGATGAAATAGCATGAAATAGTTTGGAGGATGTCGTCGTCGTGCAAACGCCGGAGAAGGTGAGAAAAAACTAGCGAGCATGCTTGAAAATCAAGGCCCCCCTTTCTTCAACAGTGAGGGTGCATGTTGCGGGCGTATTGTTTTTAGCTCAACTACAAAGCTTCTCTTCGATGAAAGGGGTAGTTTTTGTGTTGCGGGTAGGAAGCTGCGTCAAGAACTCGGAAAGGTGCGAGGGTGGGTTCTCGTGGCCTGGACCATTGTGGAATCATCCCTCCAAAGTTCTGCAGTCTGCTGGAGCCCACCCTGAACGGAGAGTTGTGTGACAAAACAATTCTAAGCCATCAGGAAACTTAAGGTGTGACGGGGGCTTGCAGAGATTTGCAAACAAGGACGTGCAACGTTCACATCTTCTGTGAAAGCGATTGTATGGTGGGCGGCACTGACCTTGGCTTCACAAGCTCTGGTAGCGTGTCGGGGGGGCTTGTTGTGGCATATCATATCCATTCGGCTCAGTCACACCTGTGTGGAAGGGACTTGGGCAAGTGCTGTGCTGAGTCACCTGCAAATTCTCGCATGAACAGCAGCGGACACGTTCATCTTCCAGTTTTACCCCCTTGGAAACGAGTTTTTCAAACATCCTGAATCGAAAACTCGTGTACGGAAAAGTTTTGATGTAAAAAAGTGATCACCCTAGGGTTGTCCAAAAACAACATAACAACATATTGTGTATATACATATAGAAACCCTAAACTAGTAAAGGTAAACTTTGATAACAATCACAACAACAATAATAATAATAATAGTAGTAACTTAGTAACAATACAAAGCGCGTGATCAAAAAATCATGACGATGCTGGCAGGCGCCGGTGCTGGTGCTGGTTGTTTTCAGTTTCGAACACCAGCCAAGCTCCATGCGGCCTTGCTTGTGCAACAGCATGACTCAACGCTCATGGCTATGAGGGAGTCTTCCACACCAACCGGCAACAGGTTCTGAGCGTTGCCAAGAGATCTTTGTTCACTTGCGCAATGCGGTCAGAGAATCGAACCAAATCAACCAGTCAGCGTCACACACATGAAGCAGCTATCAGTGCTGGTGCTGGTGGTGGTGCTGCTGGTGATGCTCGTGGTGTTCGTGATGCTCGTGCTGCTGGTGATGTTCGTAGTGCTCGTGCTGCTCGTGCTGCTCGTGGTGCTCGTGCTGCTGGTGCTGCTGCTGCTGCTGGTGGTGGGACGAAAAGACAAATGCGATAGATGGCTCTGCGAGAAGAAGACCTGTGTCAGTCTGGAGTATATAGTTTCCACAAAACATTTGTTGCGCCGCCGTCAAGCTGACAAATTCAAGACATGACATGATCAAGCCATTGCAAATAAAATGACAGCGGATTTATTTTGTATTTTGCATCCTCATTGCCAGGTACAGCACGCAGTTTGCCAGGTACGGTATTTTGCTGGCTTTGTTCGTTTGTTTTCCTGCTTTCTGTGCTCTAAGGGCTCGCTCCAAGGCATGTGATCTCATCCATTGCCAACATGTGGGAGATGCAGAGCTTGCTGCGAAGAGGGTAGGTGTGTTGACGATATCCTGGAAATCAGAGGGCGCAGCCTGAAAAAGCCCCAATCAAGTGCTGAAAGACGGTTTGGTTTGCTGCAAGAGTTGCTCCAGATCGCGAGAAACACACGTGGTAGGTCACAGGAATCGAACCTGGATTTGCAGCATTTTTTCATATTTCGCTCTGAGGGTCTGGCATCTTGAAGAAGGTGATATGCACTGAAGACTCTTTTCTCCACACGGGAGCGTGCTGCACCGACGAACGACCGCTTCTGCTGATGAAAAATGTTGAGAAACTGTTTTTCCAAATAGGCATTGGTGTCAAGCACGTACTCAAGCACGTCAGACCAGCTTCTGGAACCAAAGGACATCTGGAAGGCCATTTCCACAGACTTCTGTGGATCCGGCATCTGCTGCAGCACTTGGCTACCTTGGCTTCGCGACACTTGATGACTGAAGGCAGCCAGAACATTCACAAGGTCATACAATCTCCTCTATATAGTGAAACTAGCAACTTGAGCGCTTTGTAGCATATTTCCAAGTTGTCCGTTTAATCGGTTTGATCATGCTCATATGACTCATATGCCTCAAAATCAAACAATTTGCTCTGACTGGTTTCACTTGCATGTCTCGCTTTGGCCTGTCAATTGCCATGGTGCGAACATCGGCCGCCAATTGCGTCACTTCGTGATCTAGCCAGCTACTCAACGACCTATGATACAATGTTGCAAAGTTTGTTGCCCTTTCCACGTCTCCCTTGTTTGCTTGGACGATAAGAAGAAAGTGTTCCTCAACCAAGGCTTTCTGTGCCAGGAGGTCAGCCATTGCCTTCTTCTGCTTCTCTGTTTCAATCTCCTCAAGAGCTTCAACGCAAGTGGTCCGAAGAGCCAAATGTAGCGCGTGTAGAATTTGAGGCCGCTTCAGAGACACGGACTCCGAACGGTCAGCAAGGGCCCTCGACTCCAATTCATGTAAAGTCACACTTGCCAAATGTCGCAACCCGTCAGCGGCAGTGGCTTCATCAAGCACACCCCTGGCATGAACTTCGGATTTCAGCTGTTGCAAGGCGTGTTGGACAATCTGCTTCATTCTTGGAATCACGCTGTGCAGAATGCTGCCAGATTTCAAAGTCACGTCTGACAAATTTCCTCCAGCATGCAGCAGAGCCAAACCATGCATCTTCATAGTTCCCCACCAGCCAATGTGAAAATAACTGCTTTCCCATTCTGCATTGCTTTGTTCTAGGAGAGGCCTCATTCTCATGTTGTCAGGACCCAACTGGGCCAGCTGCTGGGGGCCTGCTTCCTTCAAAAGAGCCAAGGCTCCTGTTTCATGATGCAACTTGTTTACTGCACAGTTGAAAAGCAATGTAACTTCATGTGCTAAAGTCTGCCAAGTTTTCGTGAGACTTTGCAAGCGTTCCAGAAATGAAGCTTCATACATGCGCCACTCGCTCTCGAACAGCTCACGGGATTCATCTTCCGACAAGCAAGATCGATGATTGGAGTTGTCCAGGTGTCGGTTCAAGACTTTAGTAAAGTGAACCCAGAGTTCGTGCATGGCCCGCTCATCAGAGGCCTTCTTCAAATGCAGTTTCCATGTGTACAGGTGATTCTCAAAAGCCCACTCTATGGGTGTACGAATCTGCTGTCTTGCTTGCTCCTTGGCTGTTGCACTGAAGCGGGGGCTCGAAGCTTTTTGCTGAAAAAGCTCTTCCAGCTGCCCCACACACTCATCCCGCAGGTATGCCAATGCTCTGCTGAGTTCGAGGTCTGTGGTTTCCAAATCAAGGCGTGTTGGATTTGAGTGGATTCTGCTTACAAAGCTGTCCACCAGTTGCCGTGCTCTCTCATGGAAACCTGCTTGGTCTGCCCCATCCAATGCTTCTCGAACTGCACTCTTGGCAACATCTGCAAGCTCTCGCCGCTGTTCGATCTCATGAATTGTTCTGCAGTGCAGCAGTTGTTGGCCGAACTGATCCAAAGTTTCCCATACTGTGGCAGCATAGTCATACCAATGAACTAAGGACGAAAACTCTGGTAGTTCAGAACCTCTTCGATCACAGTCTTCCTGCAACCAGCGGAAAACGTCCGCACGGAGTTTTAGCACTTCTCGGGCAAACAGCTCACTGGTCCAACACACCTCCCGGCCCTGTCTCAATTCCGAACTCATGGCAGAAGGAAGGAGGAACACAGCTGTGCCGTCAAGCAAAATCAGGTCTTGGAGCGGGGACCCCAAAGTTTTTGCAGCTTCTTCCAAGTTGTTTTTCATCTGCTTCAACATATCTTCATGCACACTTCGAGAACGGTCATGCTGATCTCGGAGCACAAAAACCAGCCGCGGCTGCAAGCGTGAAAGGCGCAAGTGCTTCATCGCAAACAGGCAAACCTCCAGAAGGTCCTGAAGCTGTGCGGGGAAATGTTATACAACTCTATCGTGCCACATTCTGCCCGCTAGCACGTTTGGATCCTATCTGTGTGGTTGGTGAGGCGTTATTTACTGCCACGCATTATGTGTCAATATGTCTTTCAATAGAGACTGCCAGCTCTCAGCAGGCCGCCGGTTTCAACCACCTGTCGCTCCTCAACCCCAGATTATATAAGGTCTCAGCGCTTCTTTTCAAATCCTGCTGGGTTGTGCTCTCTCGATGTGGCATGTTGCCACTACAAAAGCTGGCCCCGGTGGTGTGCAACCAGGGTGGGACGCTAGTGGGAGGGAGCTTGAGCGTCGCGAAAAACACACATCGACCTTAAGGACACCAAGGTCTGAGCGCTTCTTTTCAAATCCTGCTGGGTTGTGCTCTATCAATGTGGCATGTTGCCACGACAAAAGCTGGCCACTCTTCCCAACATCTTCAACCTTCATCACCACAAACGGGGCCAGGCACTCTCCGGAATGAAGGCGTGCTTTAGCTCGATGGCTTTGAGCAGGATTTCATTGAAGTGCATGCAGAGGTGACTTACACGGCTCTGACTCTCGGAGGTCGTCTTCTGGGTATAGGTGGCGAAAACACTCTCCTGCAGATACACTTCAAGAACTCGGGTTGACAGCCAACGGCCCTTCCGACGCACGTACTCTGCGTCCTCGGTTTTCTGCAGCCAGAACGTGGCGCCTCCAGGACGGAGGCTTGACAAAGAGTAAGGCAGGTTCCCCTGCCCTTTTCCTCCAAACAAGCCAAGTGCTGATTGCAATGCAGCAAACCTTTTCCGCAAAGCCAAAGGTGAGCGGTTCCACAAAGGCTCCGAGGGCAGCAGGTGTGCAAAAACTGCATCAACAAGTGCCACAATGTCTTGTGGATCAATCCTCGACGATTGATGTCGAGCAGCTCTTCCTCTTGTCTTCGGGAGGCGAATCTTGAGGAGCGCATAGAGCACTCCTGGCGCAGCATCCCGAGGAAAAATTAAGTCCTCCCTCTTTGCAGCAAAGAGTTCGCCAATGCGAAGCACCCCTGTCCAACCCATGGCCAGCAACGCAGCCTCGCGACTCCAACCCCACAACAATGCTAACCCAACTGTGGCCAACAAAATTGAATGGGGTAGTGCAGTGTTATGCTCATGGGGCTCATCAACAACCCAGTTGAATGCCAAGTCCCAGCATGCAGCAACCTGCTTTCGCAAGACCGGCCTCCTGGCCGTGACAGCATTGATCGTCTCGGAGAACCTGCCGTAGGATTTCCCTGCAGTGTAGAGCTCCTTACCATATGCCACAAGGGCATCGGACACGGCTTCAGCGTCAAGCGAACGGGGCTTTAACAAAGCTTCAAGCGTAGTCCTCAGGCTCTCAGCCAGCCAGCGGTCGAGAGCGGCCAGCAGATGATGCCTGTTTCGGGTGCTCTGTAAGATCACCCTGTCTGCCTGCAGAACGTTCCCAGCACGTCTCTGAGCCCTCTGAGACTCATCCTTGTTGTTCGGATGCAGTGGCATGGCGTGGGCGGAGTGCAGAACGCCCAAATGGCTACTGCATGGTACTGGGAACCAACCCTAAAACCGTTCAGGGGGTAACCAGAAGATCTCCGACACCCAGCCAACTCAGAAGTCCAAGCATCAGAGAAGTCATGGGAAAGTCCAGAACTGGAATGGGGCAGTTGGCTGCGACAGAGGATGACAAGGGCCAAAATCAAGGCCAAAGCACAAGTCCACGAATTGAAGAGCGCTGATTGAGGAGGGCGATCGAAAGAGCTGGCAACGCCAGGGCAAAGGCATAGGACAACCAAAAGATAGAGCCGAATCCAGTTGGCTGAAGCCCTTGAGAACTGACGAGCATGCAAGGTAGCGATCTCCCCTGGAGAGAAGCCTTTGAGCACTGAATGGCCAGCAGGTTCAAGAAAATCTTTGTCTCTGGAAGGCGCATCTGCAGTGTTGAGCCGGGTAGGTGCAAACCCGAAGGACGGGTGGATGTTGCCAGCAACTTGATAGGCGCAGGATCTCAGCAAAGAGGGTCTCAGCGCATGACATGAGGAGCGGCCTTTTGCATGTGCCCCTTTTGCCACCCTACTGTCCAGCAATGCAACAAATCTGCAATCGCCTCCACCATCAAGAAGCCTCCTCTCCAAAGCAACAAATGCCCTGCTCTCCAAGATATTGATGTGACCAGGTTTGCTCCAGGCCCAATCAGCGACTGTCGACCAGCCTCCTTGCAGGAGTAGATCATTCAGGACGACACTTTCGAGAGCACTGGACGGAGGTTCCTGAAATGGGCCTTGCTTCCTCAGAGCCGCAGCGAAACATTGCGCAATGCACCTTGCAACTCCAGGGCGATATACTGCTGAAGGTTTTGTAAACTTGCCTTCAATCCTCACATGTTGGTGACCTCCAGGGCAGGGCACCATAAGCCTCTTCATGTCAAGGCCCCATCCAAGGATCCCGAAGGGCTTCTTGTGCGGACTCCCAAAGGCACACGAGTTGAGCACTGCCTCTGAAAAGCCAATCTCAAGGAGGTAGCTCCACATTGACAGCCAGGCCATCTTTGACAAGTGGGGCGTCTCCAGCAAAGATGGAGCTCCACATCGCCAGGCGAACCATAGGATGGTGAAACTTCGAAAGGCCAGGAGGTTTTCCAGGAAGGTCTTTGGATCTCTTCTGTCATAGCCCAAGGGCTTCGTGTAGGATTTGGAAGCCGGATGCTGAGCAGGCGAGAAGGTAGTGCACGGTGGTTCACAAATGAGACTTCTGAACCTCTTCTCAAAGATCATTTGGCAGATCCAACCGAGAAGCTTGTCATTGCCAATGTCATGGTGAGGGCTCCTGGATAGGTCAATGGGCGGACATGTAGAGAGCCCAAGGTCCGCTGCAGCTGCGGAAAGGACCCCAGAGCCACCAAAGATCTCGACAAAATCGAAGGGGATCATCGTGAGGCCAGGATGTCAGCCTGGACCGGCATAGTGTCACAATCTTCACCAATACTCCTCAGCATCGAGCGGGCTGGGGCATCAAGCATAGTGTATGCTCCCTTCTTATCACCTCCGAGCCAAAGAGTTTCTGCGAGCTCACTGCTGACATGCTTGCTCGTGATGCCTCCTTTTGCATTTGAGGCGTCAGTGGCATAGATCTCCTCATGGTAGGGCACCAAGATGTCAGTAGCTGCTGGAACGCACATTACGCTGGCAAGCACTAGCTCCTCTGCAGCACTCCTGGTCAGCTTTATCACCTCATCAGCTCCTGCCTCTGTTTTGTTGCCGAAGGTGAAGAGCTTTGACAGCAGACAGCAGAGGCATCGTCTGAACATCAGGACGGATACCCAGTTCCCTGCCAGCCGAGAAGCTAGTGTTCTTGAGATCACCGGCAAACTAGCCGCCCTCAAAGAGAGAGCGATCATTGGAATCCTCTTTGACAAAGGCGTTGTTTCAGAGACAATTCCAGAGTTACAAGTTCGCTCATCAGCTAAGACTTCTGCGCCGATGACCTTGAAACTTTCAGTTCCTCTGATAGTCTTGTCGTCGGAGCCAAAGACATTCTCCCTCTTATAGATACGCTCGGCCTGATCGAGGTAGAAGACAGACTTCGCCTCTAGAGCAGATGCGCTAGCTCGTTCACGGCTGATGGAGAAGTAGTCGTCGATAACCAGTCCTTGCCAGGAGGGCCCACTTGGGAAGGCGTGATGACCCAAGATGGTCTCGGAGTCGACAAGCAGGCCTCCTCGCTTCAAGAGTTTTGTATGACTCTCCAAAGCGAACTCAACCCCAAGGTGATCTCCTTGAAAGAGGCTCTTGAAGCCACAAGCAACTGAAGTGACATCTTTCTCCTTGAAGGGCTTGACAGGGGGCATGCCATAACGGTCCCCATGTGTTTCCCGGGAAACTTTTCCCGCAGAGCTGTAGATCATCTCGTCCCAGGCATGGAGATCCCTCACTCTAGCTGTGTCAAAGGAGAAGGGGAGCACATTGGTCAGAGCTCGTTCCCGGGGGACTGCTGCTTGGTGGTAGAAGTCCTGTCGGCGGCACATCCGACCAATTTGTACCCTTAGGGACAATGAAGTGAAGTAGCGAGCTGCCCGCTAGCAAGTTTGCTGAAGGTCCTCTTGGGCGGCGCTCTGCAGCGTTGAACCATCGACGGTCTCCAATTCTGAATTCTTGTGGGCATTGAAGACTCTGCAGGCCAGGCCGGAAGAGTGTCCAGCTGGAAACATGGCAAGTAGCCCCTTGCTATCCCACAATTTCACGAGCTTGAGGTTCTCCTCAAAGTCCTCACGAGAAAAGGTGGGGGCCGTCTGTTCCAAGAGGCAGCCCGTGCAGGAGGATACTCGGATCTTGAAATGGGAACTGTCGATGTACTCCTACATATTCCACTTGCCTTGTCCCGAGAGCTTTAGCCTGTCTGCATCGAGCGATCTGTAGGGATGGGGTGGAGAGAAAGCGGCCTCTGTTGTGAACCTGTGCTCTTCTCCTATCTTCCCAATCACAAGCTCAGCAGGGTCCTCATCTCGAGTGTGGTCACCATAGCCGAGCTGAGAAGCGGGGTTGGAGTAGGCGAACTTCTCCAACTCGACAAGCTTTGCAATGAATTCAAAACCTGATCTTCCCAGTGGCAGAGGATAGCTGCAACCTGAATGACCACACGCAGCGATTAGCGCCCGCAGGCTCCGAAAGACGGATTGCTGAGCCAGAGAAGGGCGCCTCCCAAGCACACTCAAAGGCGAAGGCCGAAACCCATTGTGGATGTAGTTCACTGCCATGGTAAGGACATGAAGAGCCCGTTGATGGCATAGCTTCTTCCACTTGCACTTTGAAAGCCTGAGGTCACTCTGCCGGCCGAATAGGCCATCATGCGGAATGGGCAGGGGAAACACTGTAGCTGAGCCGAATCCCGAGCGACGGACCTGAAAACTTCTGGCAAGAAAGGCCGCGAAGGCGGTCTTGGAACGTAGCACCCAGCGGATGAGGCAAGCAAGAAGGCCATCAAAGG